AACATATATTTTTAAATGTGAAATATATTTTTTACACCCCTGCTTGTACTTTTAAATTAAAGGCATACTATTAGTTTTAATCTAATATTATTTTATAATATCATTAAGTTGCAAAATGAATTCAAGTATATAATAATCTATCAACAAAAGTTGTAACTACTTTAAACATTTAAAAATAATTACCATGTTTTTTAGAAAAAAAAAAAAATAATTTATATTTTTTTCCCAATGACATGAATCTATTAACTAAAACCTAAGTATTAATATTGATATGAGGTTTTGTACTATATTTAAAAATATATAAAATATAAAAACAACTATTATTTACTGTACAAGTCTTCTTTTTATTAATTATTTTAAATTAATAGTACATGTCTTTAAAAAAAAGTTATTCCTTTAAAAATAAAAACTTCTTAATGCTTATCCATATATTTATATTAATTTTTATGGTGCTCAACAATTAATGATGTAAATAATGTAAGGTTTATAATAATGAGTTAAATGTTCAACAACTAGTTGATACTTCAAATGAAAATAACATATCTTTACTCCTAAAATTATTTAGGATATTATAAATTATAATGCTGACCTTAGTTTACATGAAAATATTGAATTTCTGAATAAAATTTGGATGTCTGATACAAAGTATAATTTATTAGAAGATTCAATCACAGATTATATGAATATAATATTTATATATTTATTTATTATATATATATATATATATTAAATGATTCAATCAAGACATGTTTTTGATTTTTGTTGCCGTGTCGTTTTTAATTGTATGAAATTACAAAATTTCGATTTTTTTTTCAGAATAAAATAAGTTATTAGATTATATGTATATTTTATAAAGAAATTTGGTATATTTATGCATCTGTCTTTTGAGTTTACACTACGAAAATGATCAAAAATAAAATAAATGAACATCGTTTGACGACGAAATAATTAATTATTATAAACGTGATTTGTCTTCGCATCTAAAGTGTTTTTGTGTACGCGTACATTACGAAACTATTTAATTTCCATACTTCTCTAAGGGTCGATGTTTATAAACTACTAAAATGAGCGAAACATATTATGTAATTGAAATGCATTCAATGAGTATACTTTCGATGATGTATCAGTTAAGGAATTTGTAATAAAACTTTTCTACAGTCAATAATATATAAATATATCAACTCCATAACTGCGGATTAATATGCAAGGGTGGATTAATGATATTTTTTGACCGGGGATAATAAATCAAAATACTCTCAATAACCTAATACCTTTAAAAATGATTTAACATTTACAATTTAAAGAGATTGTGATTTTACATAAAACAGAAGATAAAAATATGAATATTCCTGATAAGTCAATCCACCTTTATTGAAACGGTATTGTTGTGTTTAGGCGTAACCGTATTTAACCATCTATTCATCTACACATATAATATAGTTGAAATAAATCAATACTAACAAATATTTTAAAACATGTGGTTTTAGAAGTAACAGATTTTTAATACTACAAAAACAGAATGATAAATGTTTACACTGAATTGTTTTTGAATTTACTATCGAGGCATTCGAATACATATACATACATGTGTTATACATATGTGCATTCGTAAGTTTAATGAATAGTTGTAAGAATACCGTAATGTCGATGAAAACACAGCGTTCTGAATTCTAACGACAAAAAAATATTGAATAAATTATTTTATTACTTTACATTTTTCAATTGTGAAAATAAATTAGTGTTTTTGGCGATGGCGAAGAAAAAATATAAACATTTATTTTAAATATTGTTATATTCGACGAAACATTATTAATTTTGAGCTCTTTTTTTTGTTCGTGAGCTAAAAAATATTAATTTAACATTTTTTTTTTTCGTTAAACATTTTTTAAGGTTTTTTAGTACAAATTAAACAATTTTACTAATAAAATATGTTACGTATAGAACCATAAATGACTGGAAACCGTAGCGAAATTGAGTAAAATAATTTTCACTGATACACACCCTTTTATGAGCTATTTTAAAAAGCAATTTTTGGTTATTAACTCAGAAGGAAAACTGGCAGAGGGTTATTTTTAATTATAGTATCAATATCGTAAAGGGTAAATTAAATGGATTATAGTATTAATAAATAAAATTAAAAATAAAAGGACGACAATATTACGGTTTTGAAAAATATATTTTTATAATATAGTATAAAATTAAAAGTCCCAAATTGCTTTTTTACTTTATGAAATAATATAATTATATTGATCTATTTGAAATTGATACACATATTGTTATTGCGACCATGTAAACTCGTAAATTAACTGTATATACTTAAATTTAAAATTATGTAAAATCATGTTAACAAATATTTATTTGAAAATAATATTCAGATTGGCAAAAAGATTAATATTAATTTATTTATTAATTTAATGTGTTGTATTTTTCTTATTTATATTAAAGTTAATTTTCTTTATGTAAATAGTAATTATATAATAAAGTACAAATATGCACTTAAGTATTATTTTTTAGTTCTTCACTTATCAGTTGAAAACTTGAAATATTTATATAATTTATGTATGACGCTTTATTATTATCATATTCTCTATATAAATAAATATAATATATACAGCTCAATGGTTTCTAATTAATTTTAAATATTAATCAAAATTTATTATTGTTATTATTATCTGAATTGTTGAGTAAACAAATTTTTAAGGTTTTACATTTTTTATGATGTACAAATCGGCTTATCCGGTAGTTACGAGTTTTTAAATAAAATGCATGTAAAAATAATAAGCAAAATATATAAGTATTATATTATTATTTTTTTTTTTTTTTTTTTTTTATTAGGTAAAGTAATCTACAATCTATACAATTATTTGTGTACAATAAGTAGGTGGGATATAGGAATATAAAATTAATGTGAGTTGATTTGAATATGGGAGATTACCCAGTGGTAACACCCAGCATTATATTATTAAAAACAATAATTTTCATCATTTCAAACGAACAGATATAATATTTATTACTTGTATATTATATATTATACAGTTCTCTCCCGGGGTAAAGTTTTTTCCTTTTTTAAATTTAAGCTTTATTCTTAAAAACCTTTTTCGTGTTTTTTTTTTTTTTTTTTTTGTGAACAACACTCCTGGCTCGACTTAAACTTATTACAAAAGTTAAGTAGGGTTAGGTAAATGGTCCATAAAAAAAAAAAAAAAACCAGAACGTCATTTCTGCAACCTTAACATTTCACAAACTACACATTTCTTTCATCACGATAAACTCAAAAGAGATTGATTAACATTTCATTTTTCTTCAAAATATGATCAAAATTTGACTCTGATGAATCCTTTTTTGCATATCTCGTAAATGTCTAGGTACAACAATAGAACTAATATTCTTGATGTAATGCGTCTTAATATTTAGTCGCAGTACCGTTGTCACTGTAATCGCGACATTTTTACATTTTTATTTGTAATTTTAAATATTATGTTTCTTATACTAGGCCACATTTATTGAAATTTTTATTATTATGTTCATTATTATTAAACATAATATATTGGAAAATAACAATACGATGATATCGATATTTTTATTACGTAAATGTTGTAATTATTTTTATATTTTACAGATACAAGTATTTGCTATCTAATTTCAATATCAAATATTCATTAGAAAATTATGAAATACATAGAATTTAGAGCATTTGTGCATATATTACCTTAAATTTATAAATGTTTTTCATTTTTTTATTTTTATCGAAATATACCATATACCAATTGCGCTCTAAACATTTTAGGGTCAATTGACTAATTGCGCTCAAAAAATTTTACAATACCCAAGGAAAACTTATTAGTTAGTTATAATTATATAATAAATAAATTCACTAAGCAATTTTTGTTCGATTATAAATACTTAATGTAATATAAATAAATGAATAATTTTTTTTTCTTTATATTTAAAAAGTTATTTTTTGATCGTCAATTATTCAAAATTAAGTTATAATTATAAATATAATAAAAATAAATAATGCACTGATTTTTTTTTTGTTACTATTTATACATAATGTAATATTAATAAATAAAAATTTAAAGTTATACCAGTTACATTTTAATTCACATTTAAAATTTTTTACAATAATAAATACATTTTATGAACAATATTTTCATATCCGAATATAGGCAAATTTGAATAACGAAATTGGTATGTTGAGCGTAAACTATATAGAACGCAATTGGTACATTGACCCTAAACAAATTATTCTTTTTTGGCGCAACTGGTCTATGCCCGTTGCTTAAACGTTAATTTACAAAAAATATATAAAAAATATAAGACCTAACTTAAATAAACTATGAATAAGTTTTATTGTTATATAATCAATTTCGAATAATTTAAACTAAATTCTGATTGGTGCGCTTACGATAAATAAGTATTTGTATAATTGTTATGTAAAAAAAAATATGTCAATATATATGTATATATACACTGAAATCTTTTTGGTTTAAGCTAATGCATAAGTATTATTTAAGATTGACAATCAAAGTTATTCTACTACTACTGCTGTTATATTAGTGTTCACTAATTTGATTAATTTTTACTTGATTAATGCCAAGAATTTATGGACTAGTGATGAAATATCAATATTAAAAAAACGAAAGCACTCGTTCTTGTAGTTCCTGCTTCTTGACTCTAAACAGTTCACTTTATATCTATTTATATTGCAAATAATTATAATACAAAAAAAAAAATATAGAAAATTGATCTGTAAAAAATGGTTATTTTAAAACGATGGAATGACGACTGAAAGTATGTGTTTCAATGTACGGGTACATAAATATAATAATGTTACTTCGTTATGGACATCACTAATTGTTGGTAGATAATCAACGTTATCGTTTTAATTTAGCTGTACGAGGAGTACATAGCAATTGTTGTACATTAGAATGCAAATGATGTAGTAATTTCAAATAATCGACCGGGACTACGGTTTTAATTATTCATCGTCTGCTCACCAGATATTGATCGTCCATGCAGTCGATGTGTGGCCCTATGATAGTGAAGTATTTCATTCCTTGGGGTGGCGATGCGTAGGGTATGTCAAGGGTCACCTGAAAGATACGACGTGTTCGGTTCAGATGAATAGAGGATAAAAATGAAAAAAGTTGTTACGTGCACGCGTGGTGTATGTTGTACATAAAGTAATATTTACCTTTATGTAGTACCTGACGTATCCGGGTTTGCTCTCAAACGAACAAGGCAGCGAGCTCTGAGGAAGTTGGAATTTGAACGGGAAGTGGTGAATTCCGCGTGGCAAAATGGGAGCAGGACCATCTTGTCGGTCTACTAGAATAAATTGTATCCACGAAGAATATAACATAATTTTTTAGGTATATGTTATTCCAAATCCCCCCCCGAGTGAATCACATCACATGGGTACTCATTCAACGTTTACGTTTTTATTACAAACCTTTTCCGAATATCAACGACCGATTGTCGATAAAATATTGATCATCTTTTACGGCCGAACGATCTCCACTGACCAACACTTGCCATTCCGCGTGAGCTTTGCCCCTGAGCACGATTCGTACGGCTGTAAACGACACGATTTTTAAATTATTAGTAGTTTAAAGTTTTCGGTCATATAATAATATATTCATTGTTTTAATTATTATTATTATTCCAAACGCGCTTGTGTGAGTGGAAAGTGTATTGTGTTTAATTCAACAGTAATAATAATAACAGTGATTTTGTTCAATTGACGTAATTACACAAACTTCTGAATAATACAAATGTAATTTTCTAGTTAACGTCTTTTTCATTCATACTATGTTAGCATAATTTTCCCCCGTTAAGTAACTATATTCATGTTAGTGACATTTTATTAATCTTAAGCCGACGAATAGTTGTTTTGAAATTTCTGCAAACAATGTTTACTGGGAATTTAGTAATAATATTATGTTAGACATGTCATTATATATACTAAATATCAATAACATACATTTTCTTATTATTATTTTATACTGTTACATGTCATTTCAAAATCATTTAATTTCATTTGCAAATTTAATACTGTTTAGTATTTTATCTTTAAAATTTAAGAACTCTTATTTGCCGGGTTTATGATTTTTTCTACACCATTTGATTTTTTTTCAACACTTGAAATTAATTTTTTTAATAATTTGAAAATTTTTTAACTTGAAATTTGTTAAACATAATAACGATGGCAGATATACTTAAATTAAATTGATTTTATTAAATAATTTATAGATATAATATAAGTACTACGCTTTAACATCTTCGATTAATATATTCGGTATTAAAGCTTCAGAGAGACAAAACGAATGCAAAGATTAAATTATTTGAGCTGTGCGATCACGATATCGTGTGTATTGTATGATACATAAAATCAATGATTGTTATGATTTTTAAAACTTTAGATGAATTTAGTTTAACAGTTTAAAAGAAATATAAACGAATGAATTAGATAAAATGTGTTCTACTATATATTAAATGGATTTGAGTGGACTTTCATTTTCTATATTAGTTATATGAACTGCATTTTAGATAATCAAAATTGGGTTACATATTAAAAAATATTGATAAAGGAATGTGATACACCAGTAGTTGAAGTGTAAAATTATGTAATATATGCATATAAGCGGAGTAGTGCTTGTTGAATTGAAGGAGGGCGCAGGAGGATGGAGTACCCCAAATTATTTTCAAAAATTTTAGCGCCCTCTTAATATTATTATGTTATAATTATAACACTTAACAAGTCTTGGTAACGCTTTTTTTTTAAAGTAAACAGGGTCCCCCTTTTTTTTTTGCCAAGTCGAGCACTGATGTGGGGTTAAACTATTTAGAGTTAATTCATAATATTAATCCATTTTTTTGGGGGGTTTTAAAGAGTAGAACATTATTGTGATGTAATGTTTTTATTTTTTAACAAACAAAAATGTATTCAAAATTGTTTATATGTTAACATTTGTAAAATTTTAGGTTTTTTGTTTAGTAATAAAAAAATATTGAATAAAGATTTCGAAAAAATAATAAGCTACATTTTTTATATTGTTCTCTTTTTTAAAAAAAAAGAAACGCAACCTCTGCTATAGATTTATACAAAAAAGTCTGATCTTATGCACTATGGTTTTTCTGTCAAAAAATCATAAATAAATGATAATATTTTTATGTATAAATCTACGGACACGATCACGATTTCACGTCATACTCTAACTTGTACGCACTCATACTGTAACCCTTATAGTCGTTATTAGATGGAATATTAGACCCTGGGTACATTTTTGTGTATCACGTTTTCTCAAAGAAACAATTATACCTCATGTACATTGCAATTATTATTATTATTATTATTTTTATTATACTATATAAATATAAAATAGATTTTATTTAATTTCTTTGTATTGATATTGATGACCGGTAGAAGTTACATACGAGTTAAGTTTTCTGTTAATATCTGATAATATTAATTGTACTTGCATTATTGATTACTACATAGAAGGGTGGGCAATGCTCGTTGTTCATACATTTTTACTTAAAATGCTGCCGTCTCAGTCAAAAGAAAACTATTTAATTCTGATAATCTCATATTATACTGAAAAATCAATGGAATGAATTTTTTATAGAAACATTTTGTTATTATAAGTCTATACTTAGATAGTTCATCCTTAAAAGTAAAAATTATGAATTGAAAACAAATTAAATTTTATTTAATAAAATAAATAGAAAAACTATAGTAAATCGATAAATAATATGCAAGTACATGACAAAAAAAAATTTTAATATACAATAATAAAGTATTGAATATTTCTAAGTTTTTAAGAGTATGCTTGCTACGAATGTAGGGTTGAAATAATTTTTCCCAATGATAATATGTCGAGGGCTAAAAAAAAAAAATAATTTTCTTGTCATGCGACTATAATAAATTGAACGTTGAGAGAGGAAATAAATTGGTATGGGTTATTTAAGTTTATGAAAATTTAAAATGTTAACATTAATAATATATAATTATTATCAGCAACTGTTCAACAATTTTAACCAATGTATTTTACAAATGCGGTAGTGGAAAGAATTTTTTCTATCATTATGTGTTCAGTGTTGGAAAACTAGGAATCTATTGGTTTTACAATGCCATGTTTGGTCTCTTCTGAGATTGTATTTTTTTTCTTTTGTTTGTAGAAGTAATTCAAAAGTTTCAAATAGAATTTTTTTAAATCAACAAATTGCACATTTTTCGAATTCTTACACAATATATCAAAATTATATTGTTTCGGTTTAGGACTGTGCCAAACCCGATTATGCGGCGTATTGGACTCCTATATTTCAATTAATTATAATCACGTAATAAAAATGATTAGATTAAAGTGATTTATCACGAGAGAGAGGTTAATTAATAAAGTTTTTAGTCATCACAATGCCGTGGTCAGTTGAATAATGTAGTTTTATTGTTGAGATATTTTCAAAAAAGTTGAGAGTGTGACTGCGATGCAGAGGGCATTTCGTACTCGGTTTGGTCTGAATCCAAATGAAAGTATCTCTAATCGGAAAACGACTTTGAATTGGACACAAGATTTAAAATCTATGGGATCTGTAATGAATAAAAAATCAACTGGACGTCCCGAGCCGATGAGAATACCTGAAAACATTGTTGCTGTGAGCATCAATAGAGAAGTCTTCATTGCGTTCTACTCGGAAACATGCTTCTACTCTTGAGATATCGGATCGAACGGTAAGGCAAATTTTACACTGTGATTTTAAATTAAACTCATATAATATAATGGTAACTCAAAAATTGAGTTTAACAGATCAAGGAAAACAAAAAAATTGCTGTAATGCGATTCTTAGTTATGATTTTCAACGATACTGTGTGGAGTAATGACGAAACACATTTTCACATTTTTGGCACAATAAAAAAACAACATTTTCATTACTGGGCTGCAGAAAATCTCCCAAAAATACACTAATGACGTTTTCACAATCTTAAAGTCACAGTTTAGTGTGCTTTGTTCTTGGTAGGCATTGAGGGACCTTATTTTTTTTTTAAGAAGGTGGTGTCAGTTTTACTGTGACTTCCAACCAGTACTGTGAGATCTTGGAAAACTTTTTATGTCTGAAAATAAAAGCATTAAAAAATAATTATAACTTCTGGTTTCAACAAGATTAAGCTACTGCTCATACAGCAGTCGTTCTCGTGCCATTTTGAAGGAATGTTTCCTGGTCGCCTGATCTTCTTACGGGAATACGTCGCGTGGCCTTCTCGCTCCCCTGATTTAAGTTCATTCGATTAAGTCTATTGGAGGTACCTCAAATCTGATGTTTTCAAACGTCTACCCAGAGCTATTGAAGAACTGAAGGAGGCTATCTGTCGAGAAATCTAAGGGATTCCACTCAATATGCTAGCGACAGTGTTGGAAAACTTTCGAAAACGACTTCAAATGTGAGTCATTCATCAAGGTCATAATTTGGATGATATAATTAAAAAAAAAAATAAATAAAAAAATCTTACATAATATACTTTTTATTAATACATTTTTTTTAATATCTTGTACCACACCCTGATAGTAAATATGTATTTTCACCAGTTATCTTTCATAAAGCAAACTACATTTTTTATTCTTGAAATAATATTTTATTTTGTTGTTATAGGTAAAAGATCTTCAATAATGTTTAAGGTAAAGCAATAATCATAATTTGAACAAAAAAAGCTGAAATATAATTTATTAAGCAATAACAGTAAAATTTTAAAGAAAAACAATAGTAAGGATAACAATAGTGATAGTATTTGGTAAATAGATATTGACTCAAGTCCATATAAATCGAAAATAAACCTTCTCCGCAATGAGCTCTTCAATTAAAAAAAAAAAAATCATAACGATTGGTTCAGTAGTTTCCAAGAATATAGGTCTCAAAGGTTTTCATTTTCACATTTATATAATAGAGATATTTTTTTCTCTATACGTATCCATAGAAACGTATTATTTCACAATATATTGATACATTAATTTTTGTTCATTCTTATAAAAGTGATCGTTCTAACAATAATTCAAATTATTTTTCAAATAATTCAAATTCAACTATTATAATCATCAACGTGTATTATAGATTTCATATAATTATATTATAAAAGAGTGTCAAGCTAAAGTTGAAATATTCAATAACTATCAGATTTAAAATAATTAGTAATGGACATTTTATCGATAGAACGTCTTACCTTAAATGGATCACAACAAATTGAAAACAATCTCGGTGATAAACCGAAAAATACAAACATAAGACCTGGAAAATCTAAGAAAATAAAAACTAAGTATATTAAGTTATATGAACTAACTCAGACAATTTCCCCGGTTGACAAGCCTAAGAGTAAGTTTATTTTATAGATGATATATAAGTCCAAAGTCATATATATATTACATAAAACCCATAAAACTACAAATATTTATCAAATTTCAGAACAGCGTATCGTTAAACTTAGGAAATCTTTAGAGAAAACTCAATTACAGAAGCAGAAGTCTATTGCTTCTGACCAGGACATGGCTAGAGAATTTGAATATAGGGATAAAACGTCAAAACATT